AGGGGTATAGAAAAGTTTATGAAAGTGTCACTCCATAATACAATAGCAAAATATATAAATATGTATAGTATTTTTTATGTTACATTAATCAGTATTTAGCACACCTTCCTAAGGAAAGGATATGGACCAGAAGACATTGCAATTACTAAATGATATTTAGACAGACTTAAAGAAGTTCCATATCTATACTTGTGCCCTTATTATTTAATTTTTTGCCTTTAATGTAAATAAACATGTGCAAACAATATACTTGCTCTTGTGAATTTATTTTGATGTTAATTACATTGTGCGAGCTGTCTCTTTAATACCGTGTGGTTTACATACATGTTGCTGCTGATTGGGCTGACATGTTTGACACACCCACCAAACAAGAGAAAATGCATCTCAAACCCCTTTGCACACCGTTTCCAGGAAACATGTCGTTCAAACTGGAAACCGTAGCAAAACGGTGCACACCGGTTTGAGCTTGAACTTGCCCCAGGTTTATCGGTGTCAAATAATGACCCATTAAATTATTCTTAAACGATTTTTAGTTTCGAATTAAAAACCACCTTTAGGCCAAAAGTATATTTTCTTTTGTTTTTATTGTAAAACTCTTATTGTAATAATAATAATAATAATTATTAATCATCATCACCATCATTTAAATTCTCTGCACAGTGTCTGGGTTAAGCTCTAATCATTGTAGCCTAAATTATTATAAGGAGAATTAATGCGGATCTTTAGACCCACGTTTTAAGGATGATGGACAAACCAGTTCTATCATTTATTTATTTGTTGATTTGTTTGTATTTGTTTTGATTTTGTTTTTAATTTTTTTTTACCATTTAATTTTATTATTTAATAACAATTATCACAGAAATATTTACGACCTTTTATTGCATTAAATGACTAAATATGCTTTTATACAAAATGCATTAAAAATAATACATTTAGTAATTATGGTAATACTCATAGACAGGGAAAACGCTTACATGTTGTGTTGATGTTACAGATGTAATACTGTCGAAGGACACCGGAGGGCCCATGCGCCACTCATTTTGTGCATCTGCTGGATAAACCCGGATAAACAGCTCGAGTTCAGTGATCCAGGGCTGCGTTCAGCCCCGACGAAACGGTGCAAAACGTGTTTTAAACGGAAACGGTGGTGCGTTGAACACCCTGTTCTGATGATGCAAGAGTTGCAACTATTAGGGTGACCATACGTGCCATTTCCCCAGGATTTCTATATTGCCTAAAATATCTAGGTTTTGGCTTTGTTTGCGTGTGCAGACCGATCGGTGTATGACATCAAAATGGCCAGGACGCGTCCTGGGGAAATGGCACGCATGGTCACCCTAGCAGCTATGGCAGCTGAGAAGACCATTCTTTGTGTTCTTTTTGAAGAATTTGCGGAGCCTGATGAAATCGGTATAAATATGTGTTTAATACTGTAAAATACACTCGACGGTACAGTCACTGCCCTTGCCCTCCAGAATAAAAGAGAATATCCCAATCAAATGAAGGGATTTGTGCAAACTGTGGTTCCTAATTATTGTGATACAAGATTTGCCTCACATTTCAGGATGAAAAGACAAACATTTCAGGTGAAGGATAATCCACTTCTTACCTCCAAGACTGTGTTATGATCTATATGACCTTATTATTGAGTATTAGAGTATTAGGCTTATCACTATTGCTGATCACCGTTGTTGTGCTATGATATTGTAATATTTACCATTATATAGGTATAGAAAAGGATATGGACCAGAAGACATTGCAATTACTAAATGATATTTAGACAGACTTGAAGTTCCAGATCTATATCTGTGCCCTTATTATTTCAGTTTTTTTGCCTTTAATGTAAATAAACATGTGCAACAATATACTTGCTCTTGTGAATTTATTTTGATGTTAATTACATTGTGCGAGCTGTCTCTTTAATACCGTGTGGTTTACATACATGTTGCTGCTGATTGGGCTGACATGTTTGACACACCCACCAAACAAGAGAAAATGCATCTCAAACCCCTTTGCACACCGTTTCCAGGAAACATGTCGTTCAAACTGGAAACCGTAGCAAAACGGTGCACACCGGTTTGAGCTTGAACTTGCCCCAGGTTTATCGGTGTCAAATAATGACCCATTAAATTATTCTTAAACGATTTTTAGTTTCGAATTAAAAACCACCTTTAGGCCAAAAGTATATTTTCTTTTGTTTTTATTGTAAAACTCTTATTGTAATAATAATAATAATAATTATTAATCATCATCACCATCATTTAAATTCTCTGCACAGTGTCTGGGTTAAGCTCTAATCATTGTAGCCTAAATTATTATAAGGAGAATTAATGCGGATCTTTAGACCCACGTTTTAAGGATGATGGACAAACCAGTTCTATCATTTATTTATTTGTTGATTTGTTTTGATTTTGTTTGTATTTGTTTTGATTTTGTTTTTAATTTTTTTTTACCATTTAATTTTATTATTTAATAACAATTATCACAGAAATATTTACGACCTTTTATTGCATTAAATGACTAAATATGCTTTTATACAAAATGCATTAAAAATAATACATTTAGTAATTATGGTAATACTCATCGAAGAATGCATCTAAACCTCGCTTGCATAGGGTAGTTAAGCAGGTTTACAGTGGGAATAATACGGAGCTCTTCCCTTTAGGACGCTTTAATGTAACTGACCATTGGTTTCGATGTAGGACCTAAGCTCCTCCCATTTAGGAATTGATTGACAGTATTCCACCTTCCAATCAGAGAGGCGTTTGAATCGGATTGGTTCAGTTGTTCATCCAATTGCATTATAGATAAAAAATTAAGAAATATTTGGTGGAGTATCACAAACTATATATTTTATATAGTATATTTTACCTTCATTACTTTTACATTTACTTGCTTAATATTTAATCTATCAAAATGAAATGGATGCCTCTTCTATCTTTTATAGTGTAGCCACAAGAGGCCGCTATAATCCATTCATAACTCTTTCGTCGTCACTATTTGCGTTCGTTTTGTTCCTCATAAAGTTTCATGTTTACGAGATAACTTGTAAAATGTTTTATTACATTAACAATATACTTGCTCTTGTGAATTTATTTTGATGTTAATTACATTGTGCGAGCTGTCTCTTTAATACCGCGTTGTTTATACACATGTTGCTGCTGATTGGGCTGACATTTTTGACACACCCACCAAACAAGAGAAAATGCATGTCAAACCCGTTGCACACCGTTTCCAGGAAACATGTCGTTCAAACTGGAAACCGTAGCAAAACGGTGCACACCGGTTTGAGCTTGAACTTGCCCCAGGTTTATCGGTGTCAAATAATGACCCATTAAATTATTCTTAAACGATTTTTAGTTTCGAATTAAAAACCACCTTTAGGCCAAAAGTATATTTTCTTTTGTTTTTATTGTAAAACTCTTATTGTAATAAATAATAATAATAATAATTATTAATCATCATCACCATCATTTAAATTCTCTGCACAGTGTCTGGGTTAAGCTCTAATCATTGTAGCCTATAAGGATATAAGGAGAATTAATGCGGATCTTTAGACCCACGTTTTAAGGATGATGGACAAACCAGTTCTATCATTTATTTATTTGTTGATTTGTTTGTATTTGTTTTGATTTTGTTTTTAATTTTTTTTTACCATTTAATTTTATTATTTAATAACAATTATCACAGAAATATTTACGACCTTTTATTGCATTAAATGACTAAATATGCTTTTATACAAAATGCATTAAAAATAATACATTTAGTAATTATGGTAATACTGCTGATAGAATGCATCTAAACCTCGCTTGCATAGGGTAGTTAAGCAGGTTTACAGTGGGAATAATACGGAGCTCTTCCCTTTAGGACGCTTTAATGTAACTGACCATTGGTTTCGATGTAGGACCTAAGCTCCTCCCATTTAGGAATTGATTGACAGTATTCCACCTTCCAATCAGAGAGGCGTTTGAATCGGATTGGTTCAGTTGTTCATCCAATTGCATTATAGATAAAAAATTAAGAAATATTTGGTGGAGTATCACAAACTATATATTTTATATAGTATATTTTACCTTCATTACTTTTACATTTACTTGCTTAATATTTAATCTATCAAAATGAAATGGATGCCTCTTCTATCTTTTATAGTGTAGCCACAAGAGGCCGCTATAATCCATTCATAACTCTTTCGTCGTCACTATTTGCGTTCGTTTTGTTCCTCATAAAGTTTCATGTTTACGAGATAACTTGTAAAATGTTTTATTACATTTGTTACAGCACATTTAACTTTTGCTAAGTTTACTTTATGACTTCTGTAACTTAATAACTCCTTTTGACATTCTGTGCAATTTATACCCGACTGCTGTTCAAAAACAAGTTTTTTTCTGTTGCACAGTTGTTGTTTTTTAAGCCTAACCGTTTTTAAAAAAAAATGCATTTAAATGCATTTGATCATATACTGTGTGTTATGTAAACCATGCTGTTACATTTTAAATTTGGTGTCAATCAGACTAACATGTAGCCTATAACGCTAATAATATATATATATATATATATATATATATATATTAAAAATGTATGATTTTATTCATTCAGAATACATCTTTGGTAATTTCTTCTGCATATAATGTGCAGATTTTTCTTTATTTTAAACAAAAACGATCCTCTCTGTACATTCCATGTGAAGGAGGAGCTCAGTTATTCAGTTGAGGGCCCGGGTCCATAATGGTTGACAGATGGACTATAGAATGAGAGTTCTGTAGTGCTCAAGTGAACCCCCCTCTCTCTCTCAGCACAGCTCCAGTCTGCTCTCCATCTCCAGCAGTGACAGTCCTGAGTGGGCCGTATGTGAATATGTTCTTTAATGCAGCCATGTCTCCTGTCAGGGTCGAAATGTGTCCAGATGGAGGGACCCCACTGTGCTGCCCCGCCAGCACTCGAGGGGTGAGGAGAGCTGATGTGTGGGTTGGGGATCCGGTCTAACTGGACTCTTTCTCAGCGTGAGGGTTGCTGAGTTTTGGCACACCACCATCCCTCGGCTCAGGTTACAGGTACGCTCGTGCCGGCCGTGTCAGACATGTTGTTTTTTTGTGGCTTGTCAACCCCATGAACCCTGAACAGATTAGTTTGAGTTCAATTTAATAAAAATGTTCTGTGGAACTTAATTCATTGAGCAGTTTGTGAAAGGGTCAGCTGATTTACACCAAGGAATCTGAACGGCTGACATTAAATACGATCACTTCATCTGTGCACCTCCGTGCTGACACTGACCAGATTTTCTATCATTGGCTTTTTGTTTCCCCACCAGAATATTCTCTGTAATTTTTATAGTTTAGTCCTGACATAATATATGTTAAAATAAATGTTAAAAAACTTAAATTATTTCTCTTTCTTAACACTGGAATAAAGCATATTTCACCTTATTTGAACAAATATTATTATTTATTATTGGTAATATTACTTATTATTGATTCACTTCTT